AGAATGGCGGGAAAGACACCGGACAGTGGAAAGGGTAGCGATGACGATCAGGACATGGACGGGGATGGGCCGGACGGGTACAGATACAAACCCGATGGTTTGATGAAACAATCCTTCAGTATCACGACTTCTACTGGGCATCATCTTCATTTAATCAGCTACTACTTCTCGCGACATCATCCAAATGCTCCCGAGCTTCCACAGCCTACAAGTGATCCCCAACTTCAACGGATTGTACCTGAAAAAGGCATGTATCCAGAATCGACAGTTCATGAAGCTCAGGGTCCAGCTATCACCAGAGCGCCAATGCAACAAGGTCCTTATATGCAACAGCTACACCCACATATGCATCAAACTCAACATCGAGTTTCATATGGGTATCCTTCGGGATATGGCCCATGGCCACCATCACCGGTTTCTACTCCTCCATATCATCCTCAACAGATGTATTCATCACAGCTTCCTCCGCCACCACCTGGATCAATGCATCCTTCCCCTTATCACATGGCACCGGGACCTCCGCATACATCTCCTTACCAATCTCACCAGTATAGTCCTCACCACCATCCTAGTCACGCTCCCGGTATGATGGCACATGGTCCACCACAACCAACAGTATATGACCGACCTCCACCACCTTTATCAAACTCCTCTTTGCCACCGCCGTCTCCACAAAACTTTCAAAACGGTGCTCCTCAGCCACATCGCCCAGTCTATCGTCCCAGTCCTCAAGCTGAACATGTCAGAATACAAGCTGAGCAGCATGCACTGATGGCGCAAAGAGCGTTACAAACTAGTGGAATGATTGATCCAAGACTAGCCCAGCCGCCGCCACTTCCACCTGTCAACATCGGACCCAATGGTGTTCAAAGAACAGCTACTCCACCAAGGCAGACAACCATCTCCCCAGCTCACACGCCAAAGAGTCTACATGAACAATCAGCCAATTCTCCAAATGGAACTCCAAATGGAATTAGTAAATCAGAGGCTCAAACAAAGCCATCCATCTCGAGTCTTGTTCATAACACCGATTCAGCATGTGTCCTAGAGGATAACAAATCGAACAGTGGCAACACTTCCAGACCCGGATCGAGTAGTCCAAGACAAAATGACAAGGTTGAATCAAAGATAGACGAGCAAAAGAAAACTTCGGGTGTTACAAATGGGGCATCAGAGATTGGAAAATTAAACGCTGGAATATCTGCCGCAGGACTTGGGTGTAATGAAAGGGAAGATCGAAGAGCCATAAGTGTCTTGGATCGAAAATTCATGATCTAGAGGTAGAAGGGTATGGATGGTATTAGGGGCATGAGCATTTGGCGTGCAAAATTACAGGAAAGGAGAGGTTGGGAGGGTCAGTCAGTAATGGCGTTAGGTATGAGCGGAGTTTTGCTTTTCAGGAATGATATCCCATACTTTCGTGTTTTTTTTGTTTTTTTCGATTTATTGCAGCATACATAGTTTTCATCCATTCTTTCTTCTCTGTACAATTTTAGATGAACAATCAGGCTTTTCTTCACAATGAATGGAACTATCAAAGGGGTATGGCTCGGTGGTTTTTGTCTGTTGGTCTGCGGTGGTTTAAACACACATTACATTGCACTGCTATGGAGTTCACTTTGGCTACCTACTTCTCTTTTGTGGTTTCTGAAGAGAGGAATTGAGATGAGAAAGTTAGATGAGATATCATCGACTCATTCTACATTATATTACATGGCTACATTACGTATAGGTATATTCAGAGGAAATTAAAGAAATCAATCTGAACAATTTGGTCTTGTATCTATTATAGTATAAGTGGAATGAGATGAAATGAGATGAGATGTGACCAGATGAGATGAGATGAGATGAAACGAAGAAGAAAACCCCCAATTTCATACGTGTGTGCCTTGTATGCAAGAGATACCTGAATTGGGCGAGTGAATTGTGTAGAATGAGGGGCAAAGAGGCATGGAGGGAGGGAGCCTAGTCCTTGGGTTGGGGGCTGGGGGTTGTAGAATGGGATGGGAGGGGACAGGGATAGAGTGGGATGTGTATTGCCCTGTGGGATGGGTGGTGCTGCACGTTTGAATATAAAGCAAAGTGAATAAATAGTCTTTTGAGGCAAAAATATATAGATCTTTAGAATTAGATTGATAAACTGAAGGAATGAATGAATGAAGCAATAGAATCCGATGGAATGGTAAGGGATTTGAAGTGAAGTGCTCTAATTTGATCCCGACAGAGTGGTTCGTTGGTTCATTCATTTTCGGTATTTTGATGGTTCTGTCTGTATGTACACCTAGGTTTGTGAGAATATAGGTGGGCATATATATCATATATTATATCATGTATGTATGTATGTATGTATGTATATATGTATGTATGTATAAGCAATTAATCGGATAATCAAATTTGAGGATGGTACTACTTACTGTAGGTTTGCTTGTGCTGGAGGGGTGGGTGCGTGGTTGCTGGCTTGCTTATATTTGGATCCTAGAGGGGCGGGTGTGTGATTGTCGAGGTGGAGGTGGAGGTTGAGGTGGGATGGATGGATGGATGGGAGGATAGAGGAAGGGTTTTCTTGGGTGTGAGCTTGAGTTTGAGTTTGAATGTGAGTGTGAGTGTGAGTTTGAGCTTGGTTGATTGGGTCTGATTGGGTATGGTTGATTAGCTGGGTTAAGAGGGGAAGATATATATGTAGAGGAAGGTGCGGTGGGATATTGGTAAGTTGTATACCGTGTATGTGTGCGCGTGCATGCTTTTCTTCAGGGGGCTAGATGGGAAGGGGAAGGGGATTCGGGTGGATGGTGGGGGGAGAGGTTTCTGATGGGACGTGAGTGGATGGGTGACGGGGGAAAGGGTTACTGGTGAGATGGAAGGGGAAGATGGATCTTGTCTGTTTTTGATTGATGGAATGATAGGATAGCGAATGCACAGATGTTGTGATGCAGAGATTTGCGGCGTGGTTGCTGGTGCATGTATTTAACGTGGAAATTGTACATATCGAGCGAACAAGGTGGAAGAGAAGAGGAAGTGGAGAAGAGTTATTTGTGACTCCATGTTTTGATCTATTATTCTATTACTCTAGTCCTCTATTCAAACTCCTAGAAATCCATGATTCGACTGTTGATGGTATGAGATAAGATGAAATGGTTCGATGATTGATCAGATTATAGAGATGAGATAAATAAATGCGCGTACTCACAATACAATATGACATAACTTAATGAGGACCGAAGTTAGGATGGGATGATATGGGATGAGATGAGACAAGAGCCTCATGATTAAAGTTAAGTTTGATCTTATCTCATCTCATCTCATTCCATGTCATCTAACCTCCTCTGTCTTTTCCCCAAATCTTCGGACGGCTATTTGGCCCTGGCCGATTACTTACCTACCTAGGACTATAAATCGGATCACCATTCTTTCACCGAAGCATCTCACCGAATCTCATCCTTCAGTGAGCGTCACTCGCATCCGCGGTACCCAAAGAGCCTAAAACCAGCTGCCTATATACATAAACACAGACACAAACAAACACAAGCATACTCGTAAACACACCCACGTTCCATAAACAAGTTAACGCTCCATTCTAAGGCTCTCTACATAGTACCTACCCTGCATCTCTACTCCGTAAAAAGATGAATCTAGGCCGTACTCCATCTCTTGTTTGCAGATCCTAGATGTGAGGGACGGATAGATAGGAATCCGATCCACACGAGATTCTGCACGCATATCCTAATAAATCTGCTATTTGATTCTGCCCCAATAGTCCCATTGAGATTGAAATTAGCATTAACCTACTCGTGGATATATTTCGGGAGGGTGGTATGCATACAGGATATGTACACGGTATGTAAATTTGGCACTTGGCAGGGGCATGAATCGATTTGATTTTTGCATGGGCTAGAGAAGAAATGATGAGGATACAGAATGTTGAAGTTACATATCTGACTCAGAAAAATCATACCATTACCAAGAATTGGCAAAAACAACAAATCTAACCGGAGCTACATCTCGGAAAAGAAGAGCAGATAATGACAAGCCAAGATATTGCAAATAGAGACGAGAAGCCAGCAACCAAGTAAGCAAGCAAGAAAAGGATTTCCATAAAGAAAAAGCGGAGTGAATGGACGGTGGCGGGTGTACAGATATGCAACAATGAGGCGCGTGTAAATTTGACCCTAGGAACATCATCCGGATATACAATTTCTGGTAATTAGGAGGAAAGCCCTTGTTTTCTCTACTTATCCATTTGGAGAAGGATTTCCCATAAAAATGACCACAATCTAAACTTCTTCAACGGCTATGGTGGCATGGTGGCATGGTAGCTGTAATTGTAAGAAAGAGGGTTGCTTCAGCGCCTGCAACATGCGCCAACTATGCAGATGTGAGCATGCGAGCACGGAAACGAGGTAAGAAAAGTGTATTGATACTGGTTTGATAAATTGAGACCCCAACTTTGGGGTGCAAAGTAAAGACAGGGGTAGTGCATAAGGTGTGGGTAGGAATCTTGAGGTAATATCAGGAAGCTCTTTGGGAAGAGCAAGCAGGGAATAAGGATGGATCGTAACATCGGACAAGGTGACGAATAGGAATTTTATTTCGAAATTATCACTTCGTTTGTGGATTTTGTGAGAAATACAGAGGAAGATATCTGGGGTCCATGGTACAAAAATAAGCTCGCGTAAAACAGAAATATCATAAATACAACTTTGCTTCAACGCGAAACTTGACTTGAAGTCGAGACAAACATATACATGCGGGGTCGCGGCGCTTAATATCTCAGCTCAATCCGAAGCAAAGCGCAGCGCCTGCGCGCCCACCTAGAACCAACACCGAGTTTCATGGCTACCCAAGAGGCACAGCAAATTACAAGGTGTTGCGTCTTGGTCGAAGTTACCCAAACTAGCCATCTGGGATCATCAGTACACGTTCCAGATTGCGCTTCGGCGCTTGTCTAAGGCTGGCGGATAAATTTAAACTTTTATACTTTTGAGACTATCAAGGCTGTGCTTCGACGACGTATCGGATATTGTTAATCACATATCTAGTAACTAAAAATGGGTAAATTTTCCGATTCTTCCATATCTTCATCACATTTGACATATCTATCGAGGGTCCTTTCACATCTCAGATCTTGGCTGCCTATAGGAAGTTACCCTATTCCATGTGTTGTTGATATTTGGTTGGATTTCCGAGAGTTTATCCTCTCAACATCTATCTACCTAGACATTCTTAGCGACTGGACAGTAAGCTTCATCTCATGTACCGGCGTGATAGTCGTTGGTTATTGAAGCCAGAGAATTCTGAATTTGGCGAATCGGTGTCTTAAATTCAAGGTATCGGTGATTGTAGATCAAGTGAGAGGTTTTGCCTCAACGTGATGATAAGTTAGATGGTACTCTTGCAGTACATAATCACCAACTGTTGTGAATGCAGTGCTACGCACTTCAATCAAAATGTTCAAGCCCTTTTCAATCCCAGAATTATCTAGTGCTTCTATTGTTAGCATGAAAATAACAAACGAGTATTTACTAATGCTAAGAAATATAATAATAAAACAACAGCGATACAAATATTCAGTGAATTAACTCTAAATATTAAAACAGATCTTTACTCCTGGGGGCCTTCCGTCGTAAACGACCGAGTATCGAGAACCCGGCCAAATTGATCCACCCATTCCATTAAGTATAAATTTAAACTAGAAACAAACTTCTGTACTCAGCCCGCAAGCTTTATGTGGACACATAATGTACTTTGAAATTAGAGCGCTACCTTACTGTTTCAAACGGCTTCTCGAATTTTAAGGATCTGTGAATATTAATCATACATCACTTCCGCGTCGTGCCGAAAGCTCGAGCTGGGGGCCAGGGGCCTGCACATGCAAATGAGGCTGAAATCAGAATGAAAGTTGTTGAAGATTCGTATGTGAATACCTGGAGTTATAGACTGTTGTATTCTAGGGGCACAAGTTCGCCATAATGGTTTCCGTGAAGATTTGCGGTAACTTTCCAGTTATGTGGGGAGAATTCTAACTTGACATCGTACTCATGCGCTTCCAATGTTTATAATTCGAGAAATGAAAAGAGCGGTTGATGGTTGGTTGAAGGCTAGGTAGTGGATAGAATGACGGTGAGCAAACAACGTCATGTAACATTTCGCAAGGAGGCGAAGTCAACTTTGAAACGATTATGCTGAAATTGATGTAGGTAAGAATCATTCGAGAATAACATCATCACTAGAGTGTATTGGATTGAGCGAGAAGATGCATTGAATTGTGATTATTCTTTGCGTCTCGGGTTGCCTACAACGAGGCATCTTTCTGTTGTCGAGAGATTGTCGCTGCATGAATTAGTGATTTCTTGTCATAACTCTTTCTATTCTCATAATACCCACTATAATCGTGTCGATTGGATTTCCCTAAGAAAGCCTCACGAAAAAGCCATCTCAAATTTGCTTACCATCACCTTGAAACTATTATGCGTCATGTTTATTCAATTCAGCAATCGCATCTCCCGACCCACCTTGGAAATGCGACTATCTCTCTGATGTTGTGTATACCAGAAAGATACCCCAGCAATCTATCGAATCCCAAACCAAACCCTCCGTGAGGTACGCTTCCCCAGCGCCTCAGTTCTGTGTACCATTTCAAGGAACCGAAGTCTTCTTCCCCTGCATCACCTCGTACCATACCATTCGCTCGCATTGCAGAGGTGAGTTCCGGCAATCTATACTCACGCATAGATCCACCTACAAGTTCACATGCTTCTGGAACTAGAAGATCAAAGCATTGAACAGTGGCCTGAGTTCCTTCTGCACGTGAGTTCTCTGAAGGTAGCATATAAAATGGTTTAATGCTTTTCGGATAGTCTGTTACGAAAACAGGCGATCCAAGTCCGACCTGATTGGCGATATATCGCTCGTGTTCAGCTTGAAGACCTGAGCCCCAGACAGGAGGATGTTCGAAAGTTTGGCCACTATTTTCAAGTTCTTCGATTGCTTGCGAATAAGTGATCCGTGGCCAAGGCCCCTTTATCATACCTTCCCATCTTCGTGTCAATTCACGACTTCTATTCATTGTATCTTTCTCCTCATCTCCGCTTCGCTTTGATTCCAATATTTCTCTTCCCACTTGAGTAGAATATAGGTTCGTTGTCAAATGCCTGAGCATGTTTTCCACAAGGTCCATAATTTCGCCCATTTTTTCCGCGAAACTACACTCTGCTTCTAACATGTAGAACTCGCTCAAATGTCTTGGCGTATCACTTTTCTCGGCTCGAAATGTAGGAGATAATGTCCATACTCTTCCTACCGATTGGGCCAAAGCCTCCAAGTGTAGTTGACTCGAAACAGTCAAGTATTTTGGCGATCTGAAGAATGTTCCATCATCACCTTTCCCAACTGGTCCTTTGTGCGCACTACCTACTTCAAAAACTTCCCCGGCGCCTTCACAGTCTGAAGATGTAATTATAGGAGGATGTGTCTGGACGTAATCCTGTTCAGCAAAGAATTGTGTCAGAGAAGCTATGCTTTGCGATCGGAATCGAAGTAATGCTGAGTTGAAGGGCGTTCGCGTTCGCAAATGAGGAATAGTGCGGAGGTATTCAGGCGTGTGATATTTGTTCTGTAGCGGAAATGTCTGCCATTCCAGATCAGTAGTGATCATCATTGACAACGTATTGCATCAAAGCCTTACATACGGCAGGATCCGCGGCACCTAAAACATCCACTTCCAGCACATGTAATTCATTACTTTGTGCCTTTTGGTTCGGGGATGGTTTCCAGTATCCGGTGAGGCGTACAGCTGTACCCATCGAAATTCTATCGTACGATTAGGAGTGGAAGTGAATTTGTTTGTATGGTTATCAGACCTTTCAGCTTGTTGTGGAGTAAGAAGAGCTTGTAACGGTTGCACACTTGAGCCATCGCCAATTGAAGCAAACGATATCTTTTTTTGGTTCCTAATGGAACGAATGAAACCATTGACATTGACTTTAACCTCATCTACGTTCTCAGGAGATGTTCCAAGTAATTTCGCAACGGACAATTGGGAAGACCTAGTGGGATAAGAAATACCGAAGCTTCTTGATTGAATGATAGATTGTGCGACATATTTTGATTTTGACAAAAAGCGGGGTTGTACCATTGTTTCTTATTCGATATTCCAGAGGAGCAGGCGACTTGGCAAGATCGACACGATTGGTTTCAAAAATCTCCAAACGGAATAATGGTGGTTGACTTTGGTGATATGATCTCGTATCAATGATACATTGTTTTTGATGTTTATGCTTTTATTCGAGGTTCTGATATTAGAAGACATAGTGGTCAACGAGGGTTACCGTAGACGCGCGCTAAATGCGGTTTCAACGAATTAGGTGAAGCATTGCCGAACCGAAACGACCCGAGCCGTTGGCTAAGCATTCCAAACTTTCCATCAATCATCAAACCAAAATCGTGTAAAAATGTCCAAATTCAACTAGACAGGATATGGGGCTGTGATCTAAGTATATCTATATATCGAGATCTGGAAACTCTAACCGTCTAACCGTCTAACCCTCAAATCCTCGTCAGGGGCTCATGGAATTACGAGTCTGGGCGTCGCCAAAAGCAATTCAAAATTGGAGAAAAATTTTCATATTGCTTTCTCAGGCCTTTTGTTTATTCGTTCTTATCATCCCTCAAATTTCTCCAAAATGAATTGCATCAACAGGCATCTGCATCTACATCAATGATTCCTTGGACACAGTATACTAGGTTACGAAAAGCCTGCCTGACACAACGATTCCCGGAATACACCCCTATTTGTATAACGTTATACAGTACCGGTATTCCATTACTGTCTATACCCGTTATCGTTCTGAACCAGTTCGAATATGCACGGACTAATATTGATTCTCATCTGCCCTTACCTATTCTTATTAAGGAATGGCGACAATCATAAGTTGACAGATCTATTTCTCGCGAATCTTATGTAACCTACAGGATTTGATCAAAAGATCTCTGGGTTGGTCTCCGGTAACATGCATACTTTTTGTCACTTGGTAGCAAGGACTCGGAAGCTGCCACCCATATCATCCGCCTCCAATTCACTGTTGATATGTCTTCAGCTCAGTGGAAATGATCTTGACTCAAAGAGTCTGAACTCAAAAAATCAATCATCAATATGCCTTTTCTTGACTGACAAAAATTCCGGGAATCTATCAGCTCCAGGTCTGTGATCGAGATCGTGCATCAGGAATGTGGACTAGATCACGCTCGCAGCATTTACTTTTTCTTGAACCACATCTCCTGTATCCCTTCGTTTATATAATACTTGAGCCATGCCCTTCGTCTTGCTGTCGATCATCCCGCTGAGTTACATCTATTATAGCTTTTAATTTAAGAACTTGCTTCAGTATATACCCATCATTTTCTTATCCTGCCGCCTTGCATTCATCAATTTCTCATTACATTTAAATCCTGATCTTTTTATTCCGTCTAGAATTTCAACATGCCCCCCTCAAAGCCAAAGCCTTCAGAGATCGCTGCTGAGGCGAAGAAAACTTATGTCCCATATATTCGCAGTGCATGTCCGCAGTGGCCAGCTACTTCGTATTTGTGCCATTCGGATTCTTTACGAGACCAGCCAATTAGAGAATCAAGACAGTATACATTTGGTAGGTATTCTAGGGCCTTAGAAAAATGTGAGATTTAGATTTGTTGGCTAATGGTCCAAAGCTTTTATGGAACGAGATCCCGTGGATCTAGCTCTTGAATGGACGGCCAGTGAGAATGATCGACCCATTCCAGTTATCATGCCGGCACACGAACGACGACCAGGTGGTGATTGGGAAGCTGGTATGCTCTTTCTAACTGGGCGCCTTTCTCACTCTAACTCATTTCCTCAGGTGTGATGCAACCGGAAGAATGTTTAGCCAGACGAAGCACTCTATATACTTGCTTGACGACACCAGCATCAGATAACATTACTTCAAATAATTACCCCATTCCCGAAAGAGCTGGCATTATCTCCCAAAACGTTGGTAAGTTGACTCAACTCAACTGTGATATTTTGTCTAACAAGCTCAAGTTGTTTTCCGCAATGGACCAGAAAAGTATGAGCCGTGGTCAGAATACAAATGTGAGTTTTCAAGGCATCAACTATGAAGTTCTTGTTAACAGAGAATTTAGCACTGCCCATAATTTCTGTTCCTACCGTCAAGCGTCCTAAGCTTGATAGCTCAGGCAAAAAGTACTCTTTCAAAACGGAACGGGAATTGATGAAAGCTTCCATCAAGACCGCCTTGCGGATTGCAATTTTCTACGGTTATGATAAGATTGTAATCGGAACGTATGGACTTGGCCCAGGTTTCAAGAATCCACCAGAAGAAGTTGCAAACATCTGGCGTGAGCTGCTCGTTCGTGACAACGAGTTCAATCAGCAATTTTCAGCCATCATTTTTGCCTTTGAGCCATGTGAAGGTCCGGGAGGTTCTAGCTCTAGCAGTCCAAGTTCCTCATCAAAAAGTTCAAAGTCATCAAGCTCAAGTAGCAAAACTTGTTTCACTCACGAGCTCGAAATTTTCAGGCAGACATTCAAGCCAGCAAATCTCCACGGCGCATTCAAGGCTTGAAACTTTTCAACGGTGATATTTGCTGGGCGTTCTAGGTGGTGCAAAGGGTAATAGTTTTTCACGATGCAGGCATGGGTGTATTACATAGTGGCGTTTATGACGCGACAGGGAATACAGGATTCAAGCCTGGCTTAAGAGCGGTGGGAAAATGTTGGGACCACTTTATCATTTTTTTCTGTAGTCAGCTATTCAATTACGAGACATTTTTACTTACGAATGTTTTTTGTTACCTGTTCCTGGATCACCTGATTACTATGCAAGGATGAATTAGAGGATGAGACAAACAGCTGAGGAAAGCTCCTTGAGTGATGGACTTTTTGAATATCATCCGCCGGTTACCTCTTCCAAGGAGGACCAACTGAATCCCATGGCTTGAAATGTAACTTCCTTGGAGAGACCAGATTGATCATTGTTGGACAACGTCGCCTAATATTGAGCTAACGGACACGGGAACGCCTCCGGTTTATCTTTGATTACTCTTCTTGTTCCCTTTAAGGTAAGTCAATCATTTATTTCTGTGGGATATCCAACTTGAGTCTTATACTATCAGCTCCCAATTCCCAAGACCTCATAATTCTCCGTTCCCAGATATCACATCGTGGTCACAGCATGCGTCAAAACGGAGATTTTCTTGCGCCTTCCTATTAGTTCCTAAACAGAATATATCCACCCATCAGAATGCTCAAGTGAATTATTCTGCGAAACGCAACGCAATGATAGTATCACATCAATATGACATATGTGGCTCCCACCCCAACCAAATATGCAACCTCCCGCACGATTCCGCCCCCAACAATACAACTCTCCAGATCTAGTACAACGTCCAAACACGGCCGAGCCTACTTCTCGGGCCCTCTCCTTTGTCTCTCCTTGCAATGTGCAACGACGTTCGACCAAATCGGCGGATCCTGCATTGCGTTACTATGATCCGTATTGCTTCAATCAATTGGTATGCATGTTCCCTACGTTACACGACGCCGTTCTGGAAAGAGAACGCTCGAATCGTGGAGGGGGTTTGATCGAATCTGAAAAGAGATGTCAAGGCTGCGGGCCGCAAGTGCAGTGTTACACGCGAGATATCGGTAATCGAAATCTCTGTACCTGTACCACAAAAGGTTGAGAAGATGTGGAGAGGTGAGATTGATGGAGATACGACGTCACAGACAGATTTGGGGAAATGCGTTAAGGTGGGACCGTGGGACGAATATGATCATGTGAAATGATTGGTCTCGTTGGTACGCCGCTAGGAGAATATTTATTGGTATTGGCATCACGATGAATCTTTTCCGGATCTTGACTTAGGAGTTTTCTATCACAGCTGCATAATATGACGGATCGGAAATGTTGTGCAGCGTGAGAGAATATTGTTGTGACATGATCTCGAGAAGCACTGACTGGTACAGTAAACGAGAGAGTACATCCATTCGGCCCCCAATATTACCTTTTCTGGAAACTTGAATCAAGGAGAAACTTGTCACAGTTTGTAACCACATATGACGTTGGGTTATTTCTTAGAGGTCTGGAAAGAATCTCAATTGATTGTGGGCTTTCTATCGAAGACCTATTTGTAATATTGTTTTCTCATGAAAGCTTTAGCCTCAAAATCAACACTCAAGGTTTAGCTCCAAATTTGACTGCTGATTTAACTAATCTGATCTATAGCCCAGACCTTCATCTTCCGGTGTCACAAAGGCTCGGTCCGAGTTCTTATGCCAACCTTGATTGACAGCCATGGCCATGATGGTGCCGACTCGGGCTTAATCTTTCGGGCGACTTCGGTGGTACCCAATCTTCCCGACCACAGTAACTTAGATATTTGACCTCTTTGTACTCCTGAATATGTTGTTGATTGTGCCGCGGACATTTCTTCTCCCAAAAGTAGCCGATAATGTGGCTACATCGTGGGCAGACAGTTTGGACGTAGATACACATTTGCTCTTGCTCTCTTTTTTCTTCTTTTGCTTTCCTTGGTTCTGAAAGTGGTGATATCTTTTGTAATGTATCGCTTAGATGGTTTTAGAAACGGAAGGGGTGTACAATCTAGAACTTCTTAGAGCACAAACAGTGTCCAATTGATTCTCCATGCAACTGCTTTGACAATGTTCTTTGTTCGTGATTCATACTATGTTATTGTCTGAGACTTGTTTTCTTTGATAAAAGACCTTTTCATTGTTCTCTATTTCTGAAATAAGCCCACTTGCAAGCGAAGAAAGAGTTATCGATGTCCGGGTGGGCATACCGGTTTCTGCATTATCTTCAAACAATGAAAATCAGAGACACGTGTAGCGGAGATAACTCTATTGCCTTCGTTAGATTCTGGAGCCCCCTTTCCTTGAAAATGAGTAATATTCTTTTGTGATCCAATGGCTAGAAAAGGAACACACGGCCCATAGCATGCTTTCCCATAGCCTTCAAATTCTCCCCACAACCTCTTCAAACCACAAGTAACTTACATCTTTCCTCCTCCGTCCTCAAATTTTAGTCATCGCATAAGATATGTGCCTTCTCGAAATCAGATATTGCATCACGTGCAAAGTCGAACTAGCGTGCGGTTCGTTCCTCCGAATCCGGCCTTGAAATTATTTGTACCGGAAGTCAAACAGATACCGGTATGCTGTTCAAAATGTACCAGTTTCCCAACAAAAAATCGAATGTCAACAAACGAAGATCCATTCATGAGACGATGATGGGGTACAGAGCATAGGATTCTATGAATAGCTGGCAATTGGTGGTTTCAGCTGCGAAGAATGGATAAGAATTGATCACAACATCATATCATAGATCATAATATGAGTAATCCTTGAAAAATGATCGGTACTTCAACTCATACGATCATGGAGTCATTGTGAATAGAAAGGGGGGCGAGTGAACAATGCAGCGACAGTGCAGGAACAGCCTCTCGACTCTCGAAGAACACATCTCTCTATCGTTAGCAAGGGGTGCGCATACACGCCTGGGAATTGGATTTCAAGTAGTGAAGTAGAGACTGCGTTGAAAATTCATCGTCATTCTAAGCTCTCCATTTAGTGCACCTGGATCACATACGAAGTGGTGAACAAGTTCAAAACAAGCCACGTCTTCAATCTATATAAACCCTTCTTTACTTCTGTGCCTATCCTTTCTATTTTTCTCATTAGCCTTGAGTTCACAGAGATCGGAAACACAAATCCTGAATCAGCAAATCTAACTCCTTTCACTTCACAATCAAAGCGAATTTCAGAAGCCCTAACCCAAGATCACAATAATGAAATCCTTTATCATGTCAATCTTCTTCTTCCTCGCAATTGCCAGCTTCGCAGCAGCGATCACCGCCCAAGAACAACACGACCGAACCCACGACATCTTCACCTTCTACCACCACGACGTCGGTGCCGAACTGAAGCCCCACCACTTCATTCTCGACCTCGACTGCCAAGTCGCACACGCCTCACACCCAACCGCACTCAAACTCTCTTGTGCTCTCGAAAGCACGAGGCGAGCGCACGAGTCCGACAACGAACCTGTCGATTTCCAAATTCATTTCCAATCCAGAGGAACCCCAACCTTTCGCAATGGACGTATGATTCGACCGATTATTCTTCAACCTTTCACAATCTTACATTCGTGTGTCCCTCAAGGAGCAGAGCGAGTTGCAATGGAGGTGGCATGTTTGAAGATTCATCGGGGATGGAATCACGGAAAAGCTGAAGCGGATATTTCATGCGATGTTTTGAAGGCGGAAGCAGTGGAGACACGAGGTGAGGCCAAGCAATGACGATCCTTTTCTTTTGGCGAGTAAAAAGAGTTGTGATTGAGTGGAGCTGAGAATTGATTATTTCCTTTTGTTTCCTCGTTAACCTTGTCAACACCAAAAATACCAAACATTTCACAAAAAAACTTCCCTCCTTAAATAATAATTGATTCCTCCATTAGGAAAACCGTCCAATGTGCTTTATGCAAATGTATTGATATCATAGTAGCTATCAGAAATCCAATAGCAACTCAACATCAGATCTACATAGTGAATCGAACCCCTCATGTGATGCACCACGCATCGCCTAATTTCGCAAGTGAAAGAATAGGCCTTGCAATTGAGAGGAAAGGCGAATATCAAACTTGTAACACACAATATACCTCATAATACTGACGCTCTGCAATATCCTAAAGCTAACACCTCAAGTCAAATAGTCTTCCAATTCCAGATTTGTAAGCTAGTTAAATTTTCAGATTTCATTAGGTGGTTACCAAAACTTACCACTCATCTTTCACTATGTATGACGATGGATATATTTCTAAACAAAACTCCCTCTGCCACATACGACCATAGACTGAAGAGAATTGGGCATCCCGTCCGCTCTGCCATACACAAGCTTCAGATCGGTGGATTAGTAGTTGGGTGGGTGACCACCAGCGAATCCCCACTGTTGTATGTCTCTTTTTGCTTTTTTATCTGGTGGATCGATCACCCACCATCTATTTGTAAAAATTCATTTTGGCTGGACCGACTGTTGAAGCGAGGTAGCCGGAGAATGCTGGAGAACTCTAGAGTACATTCTCATTTTCATCGTCGCTCATACCATAGGTCTCTACAAGTTACAAGATGATGTATCCCCAGAATAGATGGGGGGAACTGTCCTACTCACTACATATCGAAACAAAGAGATTTTGTATTGGTCTCAGCTGGTCTCTCAATATAGACGGTAACTGCATTGAGAATAAGCTATTGGACACGAGAGAAGCGAATCCTCTGGCTGGCTATCTACGAGATAGAAATGGAACAAGAACAATAGCTATCAACGATTTGAAAGATGGATATCCTTGCCTCACACCCATACAGCAGAAATGCGCCCCCCTCCTCTCTTCTAAGGTTATTTTTGAACAATCCTTGAACAACGACACTGATCGCTCCCTTATACCCCTCCTTATTCACTTCTAAATCCTACGGACCTCTTCGCACAACTAATAAGACCAACATCATACAACAAATTCTACATGACGACCAAGCTCATCAAGCCTAAGCCAGAAAATGCACCAGTCAAAGACGAGGTAATCCCACACGGAATTTCCATATTTGCTTGCGGATGTAGAATCGAAGATGAGCGTCCCATACTCGAAATAATCAGGGCCACTTGGTGCTGTTTCATGAAAACAGAAACCCCAAAACCAGTCGTTGAACGTTTGTTTGGGTTCAGATGCAAGAATTGTGCTAGTCTCGGTCGAGTGTGAGTGTTTTCAGTATTTGACGTCCACATTATGTGTTGATATCAAATGAGAAGCCACTGAGTTATTACCCCAAGGATGAAACACGATTTATGTTGAGTATATTCTTTGAAATCATTCGACATCAACTGTTCTGTAGCAAGAAGTTGTAGCGAGAACAAATAAATAAAACTATTTCACTAAAAACATCCATGATTCATATGCAGAACCTGTGAACGAATGAAAATGAAACATGTGAGAAGCTAGAATATCAGACAGTAAATTAACGACGCCACATAAGAGCTGTGACGATGCCCCATTAGAGACACATTGTCCCCGTAGAGAAGTCGCTGCCAAAATGACGTAGAGCAAATACACTGCATCTAAACAGAGATATTCGTTCCACTGCATAATCAAGCGAGATGCTACATAAAAAAGAACCCCAGATGTGCTTGGAAAATCCACCAATAAGAATATCCTATCGTCTCCAAGAGGCAGGTACCTGTCGCACAGCATGCCTCCGCACCCACATGTTCAGTGGACGAATGAAAAAATTCAGGAGTTTTCTTCCATCATTTCGAGATTATTTCTCCCAAGTTCAGGTAATATTGTGAATCTAAGATTAGACAACGAGGGATCTCCTAACCCTGCAAATCCTACCATCCGAAGACTCCTCGGCTCCTCGCCAATGCACACCACAAGAACCCATCTCAAACCCTAACAACCAAATCGCCACCGGAACATTCATCCGCGCTCACTCAAACGCATGACTACCAAAATAAACGCTTTGCCAACAATAGAATTTGAAATAAATGTTCCGCCCGCCTAGTGTCAACCTCATATGTAAACACTTATCTCAAAACCGTTTTCCGCGCATATACGCCCTGCATGACAACCACCATCTCCTTCCCGACAGTTCGTCACTTCGGCACTTCGGTCCTTCTTCCCTGTAGCATCCAAATCATATACTCTTTTGATCCAATTCTCTACCATTTACGTCCAGAGTTCAGCAAGCGAGGTTGGGAAAGACGTGGGTTCGTGCATTTCGGCAAGCATTACTTTAGCCGTGTGGTGTAGAGTGCCGACGCCGTACATAAGCATAAATAGAGTTGCATCGCTACTTTCTACCACACTTGTGTCAACCATGGCACCCTTTAAATATTCCCTTGGAGATGGAAAAGGATGTACGAGCGGAAAATAGGACTTGTAAAATGGGAATTGACAAAGGAAAGTATTTGATTTTTTTCGTCAGTCAATTCATACACACACTTACTTAGAACATGATGTGATATCAATTCGCCACTAACCAACGCACGGGAATCGGCACACTGGGTAAATATTACCCGGCGGGTCAGCGTCCATTTACAGAAAAGAAGGTTAAATAAGGCTCGGGACGACACGCGTGTTTGCAGCACCACCTTTGCAAATTTCTCGACTTCCTACTAAGCTGTGATCAACAAAATCAATGAAGAAACTCTTCGCCTGGGTAATCATGAAAGAGACTGTATCCATACTAAGCAGTGGCCGAGTTCAGCAAGGCGAAGCCGAGATCTTTTGAGGAAATAAGGGGTTGAGTCGGGACCGAGATTTGGATGTTTAATGTTCACTGATTTTTTATGCACGCTAATCACATATACTATCACACCACAGTTCCATTTCCTCCCCCTACCAAAATCTGACTCCAAGATTCCCTATTTTCTTTTCGGGCTTAAACTACGCTGCACACTTTTCTTCATCCATCATAAAATCATGAATTTACCAGTAGGGAGGCCTCAAACCTGCAAAATTCGACGTTATTGAGGAATTATCCCCGCTATCATCCTTTTTTCTTTGGCCGGTTAACTATTTCCGCAGATAATGTTAGCATTAATGTTTCAGTCTTGTTTGGAAAAGAGATGGCTTACCTCTAACTGTACGTGCCGATGCAGGTGAACCAACCAATCCACATAGCTCTGAGCCTCATTATTTCTATCTTCCACCAATAGTCTGGCAAATTCGTATTCTGCACCATCAAGACCTTGTCTTGCAAGTTGAATTGTCAGAGCTTTCGCTCCACGCATTGTCTTCAGATATTCTAGTATGTTTCGTACTTGGGCGCTGAGATGAGTTTGAAGGACAGGTAGAGATGAGAGATATGGGTCCAATGCCTTGAGATTATCTTTATCTTCGCCGAATAGATCAATGATAAGATTAGGTGAAGTTTGGCCGTGCATCCATAAGTAGCAGTTCTGTCCATTGTCCACAAGGTATACCCCGCCCTCTTCAACTCTGGCGAAAGAAGCCCGTACTGAGGGTGGCATCCTAAGATGACCGTCTTCATTTGCAAACCCATCTTCGGGGGCAAGGTTGTGAATTGGGATCATGCGAGGATAAAGGTATAAAGAAAGCTCTAGAGCACCCATGCTTTTGATCATACGCGCGTCGTGAACTCGGCGATCAGAAGGTTCTTGTCCGCCTTTAAAAGCGCGAGATTTGACAAGACCTAAAATGTACATACTGAATTCTTTGAGGTGCTCTGGTAGAACTAATTGACCTGGAGGATGAGATCCCGAAAAATTCTTACGATATCCTGCCAAGATGTCGACATTCTTCTCTGACAGGGCACCTCTAATTTCCTTTAATGAGTTTGCAAGCATCTTCGATGCTGCCTCTTTGGCAATCAACGCATAAATAGCATCTTGATCCACAAAGTTCATACAATCCTTAGCTTGGTCGCTCACGCTAGCGATAACATTTGAGCACCTGACTCTCCGCTCACCACTAGCTGTAGTGTAGAGTAGAGCACTTTGAAAGTGTGCATCCAACTTGGAATCCAGCTTTCCGTCATAACTGAATAAGACTCCCATAGCTTTATCGGCATCAATAACGCCAAACTCAATATCAGCTCCAAAGGTATGTTGGATGAAATTGCCATGATATGAAGAGATCTGCAGGCCATTGGAACATCGGACCTTCATCAGCGCTTGATATCCAGTCTCACGTGTAACGGAGCGCACAACTTCATGCGACAATTTCTCATTATCTCTTGGAGAGACGAAGTTGGGGTAATAGAATGTTTCTCCTCCAGTGGCAGCAGCAACATGACCTAAAAAGGGCGTTAGTAATTCTAGTGATTAGGATGTAAGTTTGGAAATATTTACCGATTGTTGCAATATCAAGATAACCACCACCAGGAGCAGCAAGGAATAAGTCAATGCCGACTCCAGTTGCAACCATCTTATCCGCTGCTTTCCTCCAGCCAGGGTGTTCAGTTGTAAAGAGCTTTTTGTCTTGTTCTCCGCCATGCTGTTTCCCATCATCACGGAGGAACAACCTACCAGGCCCCCAGGTTGGAAGAGCCGACAGAGAACACACAATCTTTCCTCCAGTCTTCTCCAGAGCTGCCATGGCTGCATTGATAGTAGGAAGTAATGCCGGCTCGGGATTTTTGACTTGAGAGAATATTTGAGGGAGTTGACTCAGTAAAGACGTGATGTTGGACTTTGCTTCATACGGATCCACGAAAAGTCCATCACTAAGGGGAACAAATGGGTCCTCAATATCCGGCATGATCAACATCTGAGCTTGATCTAGTGC